TCCCCGGGGTGGCGATGCCTCCTGCGATGGCTGGGGCAATGCTCTGTGCCCATTGTGAACCGTCTGGCTCAGAAGCGACCCACACGGCATCGCTGCCTCGGGGGGAGAGTGATTTGCTTGGGAGGTGCTGGAGCCACACAGCAGATCCCCTGGCTCTCACCCGCAGGAGCCAGGCTGCTGTGCCCAAGCAGCAAGGGCACAGGGGGTCTAGGGCCTGGGCCCCCTTAGTGGTGACTCTGCACGTGCCTAGACCCTGCCGCCGGTGTCTCCAGAGGGCCATCGTGACTGTCAGTCTGTCTGTCCACGCCAAGCAGAGGGCGTTTTGCACCCACCGTACCTGGTCCGGTTTCAACTCCGCGATGTCCCCAACCACCAGGCTTTCCATGAACTTCACCCGGTCCCGGCCAAACACCTTGGTCTGGGGAAGAGAGGTGGCTGAGGCCTGGCCATGGGCTGCAGGGCTATTTCTTCGCTGCGTAGACGTCAGGGCTCCTTGCTGGGTCCCACCGATGCCTGGATGTCTGCACAGCAGTGCAGCAGCCCCACAGCCTGAGCGGGCTGGCCAGGGACAGCGTGAGCCCAGCCGCCCTGGCAGAGCGCGCCCCAGGCTGGCCCTGCCCCTGCTGGCACAGGTGGGCACTTGGGCATTACCATATTTGTCAGGTGCGGGGGAGCGTGAGCGAGCCAGGACTCCTGGGTTCCATTCTCTGCTCTGCCTGGACTTGCTGAGTCCCTGCCACTGTTTCAGAGAGCCTCAGCTCCAGTCCCTCTGGCCAGTGCTGGCTGGCCCTGCCTGGGCCTCAGTTTCCCCATCTGGGAGGGACAGCTGCTCTCAGGTGAGCTGGGAGCCCACGCCGGGGGAGCGACAGTACCTGCAGCATGTGGGAGACGTCGAAGAGTGAGCAGTGCCGGCGTGTGTGCAGGTGAGACTCCAGGTGGCCTGGCCCGTACTGCAGGGGCATGCTCCAGCCAGCAAAGTTCACCATCCTGCCTCCCTGCTGCTGGTGGAAGGCGTGGAGGGGTGTCTGCTTCAGGCCATCCTGTGGGGCGAGAGGGCTGGAGTGGGCAGGCAG